TGCCACTTGAAGCCAATGGAAGCAGTAAAAACTTTCCAATCAAGACCGTTGATCTCTCCAGCAATCTTCTTCAAGGCCAAATCCTAAGCGGTTCTGTTTTCCTTCAAGGTGCTCTCAATCTCACCAGTTTCAATGTCAGCAACAACAGCTTCACCGGTCCACTCCCTTCCTTCATGTGCACCACTTCACCGCGCCTCACAAAACTGGATTTCTCTTACAACAAATTCTCAGGAGATATCTCTGGAGGTTTAGGCAGATGTTTGAAGCTAAATTCTCTTCGAGCAGGCTTCAACAATCTATCTGGTGAAATCCCAAAAGAAGTTTACAATCTTTCTGACCTTGAGGAATTCTCTTTACCAGTCAACCATCTTTCAGGGAGGATCGATGATGGGATTACTTCTCTCACGAAACTGACATTGCTTGAGCTTTACTTCAACCACCTCGAAGGAGATATACCAAAGGATATAGGTAACCTTTTCAATCTGCGCAGCCTCCGGCTTCATATCAATAACCTCACAGGTTCTGTCCCCGTCTCTCTCTCCAACTGCACCAAACTCGAGAAGCTGAATCTAAGGGTTAACCGGCTGGGAGGAAGCTTGTCTGTAGACTTTTCCCGGTTTCAGAGCCTCAGCATTCTAGACCTCGGTAACAATAGCTTCACCGGTGATTTCCCCTCGACGGTTTACTCCTGCAAAAACATGACAGCGATGAGGTTTGCAGGCAACAAGTTAACAGGACAGATATCTCCACAAGTACTCGAACTGGAGTCTCTGTCGTTCTTTACATTCTCAGACAACAAAATGACGAACATTACAGGTGCTCTCAGTATTCTGCAAGGATGCAAGAAGCTGTCTACTCTCATCATTGCGAAGAACTTTTACGACGAAACGATACCAAGCAACGAGGATTTTCTTGCGTCAGGTGCATTTCCAAAGCTCCAAATCTTCGGTACCGGTGGATCAAGATTGAAAGGTGTAATACCAGCTTGGCTGATCAAGCTCAAGAGCGTAGAACTTATGGACCTGTCACAAAATCGATTCGTGGGGTCGATTCCTGGTTGGCTAGGAACTCTTCCAAACCTTTTTTACTTGGATCTTTCTGATAACCTTCTTACAGGAGAGCTTCCAAAAGAACTGTTTCAGCTGAGAGCACTCATGTCTCAAAAGGTATATGATGAAACAGAGAGAACCTATCTAGAGCTACCTGTTTTTGTAAAGCCCAACAATATCACCAGCAATCAGCAATACAATCAGCTTTCCAGCCTTCCACCTGCGATATACATCAGAAGGAATAACCTGACAGGGAAGATACCGGTTGAGATTGGACAGCTAAAGGTTCTCATCGTCGTCGAGCTTTTGGGTAATCAATTTACAGGTAGCATCCCAGATGAACTGTCAAACCTCACAAACTTAGAGAGGCTGGACCTGTCCAACAACAATCTATCTGGTAGGATCCCTTGGTCGCTCACGGGACTTCACTTCATGTCCTATTTCAATGTGGCAAACAACACTCTCAGTGGGCAGATACCTACAGGGAGCCAGTTCGATACTTTCCCAAAATCATATTTTGAGGGAAACCCTTTGTTGTGTGGCCGTGTACTGCAAGTCTCCTGCACGGTTTCACCTCAACCCTATACAAACAACAAAAATGGGAACACAACGGTTGTATTGGGGCTTGTCATTGGGATCTTTTTTGGCGTCAGTTTGATTCTGGTGATGCTTGCTTTGTGGGTGATGTCCAAGAGGAGAGTAAACCCAGGAGACACTGAGAACGGTGAACTGGAGATAGATTCCAATGCCTCGTATTCTGAAGTTCCTCCAGGTTCGGAGAAAGACATAAGCCTCGTACTGCTGTTTGGAAACAGTAGATATGAGGTTAAAGACTTGACCATATTTGAGCTCTTGAAAGCTACCAACAACTTCAGTCAAGCTAATATCATCGGATGCGGCGGGTTTGGTCTTGTCTATAAGGCTGTCTTGGACAACGGGACGAAACTGGCCGTTAAGAAACTCACCGGAGACTATGGTATGATGGAGAAAGAGTTCAAGGCAGAGGTCGAAGTTCTGTCAAGGGCCAAACATGAAAACCTGGTCGCTCTACAAGGCTACTGCGTCCATGACAGTGCTCGTATACTTATCTACTCCTTCATGGAAAACGGAAGCCTTGATTATTGGCTTCATGAGAATCCAGAAGGTCCAGCTCAACTGGATTGGCCAAAAAGACTTCACATTATGAGAGGAGCAAGCTGTGGACTAGCATACATGCACCAGATATGTGAGCCACACATAGTACACCGAGACATCAAGTCCAGCAACATCCTATTAGACGGAAGTTTCAAGGCCTACCTCGCAGACTTCGGCTTGTCAAGACTCATCCTTCCATACCGCACTCACGTTACAACAGAGCTCGTGGGCACACTGGGTTACATCCCTCCAGAGTATGGACAAGCATGGGTAGCCACTCTGAGAGGTGACGTGTACAGTTTTGGAGTCGTAATGCTCGAGCTTCTCACAGGGAAAAGACCAATGGAGGTTTTCAGACCAAAGATGTCGAGAGAAATAGTGGCGTGGGTGAATCAAATGAGGAGGGAAGAGAAAGCCGAGGAGGTGTTTGATCCATTGCTGAGAGAGAGTGGTAATGAAAGAGAGATGCTCCGTGTGCTTGACATAGCCTGCATGTGTGTGAACCAAAACCCAATGAAAAGACCAGTGATACAACAAGTTGTGGACTGGCTTAATGATGTAGACGCGGGAAGCAGAAACCAAAGTAACAGAGAAGAAGCTGAATAAGAAGAAGAGAGGAAGTAAAGTAACTTTTGTGTGCCTTTTTTTTATACTTTTCATCACACATTCTGCATTAAGTAAATATACACTTCATTTTTTGTTTTGGTTTGGGTTTTGTCATGTGCAAATGTTAACCATCATTTTCTTGTAAATTAAAAGTTTTGATGGTCATAGAAAGCTTTGATTGTGTAAAAAACATGAGAAAGTACGAACCTTTGTGGCTATTCCAAAACGAGATCTATATACACAAACATGCTCGCATCATAGAATTTCAAAGCCAGTTTTCTCAAATCAAAATGGGTTTCAGTGAACATCTTCCTAGACCTATATCATGTTCTAAGAATAAGATTGTAAAATCGAAGTGGGGTTTCTAATAAGCATTTCAACGAACACTTGGTGTGCATAGTTACCTAAGAGACATAGAGCGACGAGAAGTATGACGCAAGAGAAAGAGGAATCAAAGGAAATGTGAGAAGCAGCTTAGCTGAGACATACCTAAACATCGATGGAGACGAAGCAGCGACGGAGACGACGAGAGCTTTTGCGCAAAAGTGATGATTTTTTTTTTTTTTTGGTCAAAGGTTTGGACTTTTAACGGTTTAAAGGAGCTAAAAGCCTAAACGCTGTCGTTTTCGTTTTAGAAACGATGCGTTAATAACTAACCTCCATTGAAAAATAAATTCGTTATTAGGTGATTATAATTTTGTCAACTATAGCCCAGAAGACCAACATACTTTTTTTTGTTCTTTCTTAGAACTTAGAAGACCAACATATTACAGTTGTGAAATCTCTTATTGGTTACATTACATCTCTGTTACTAGTACAAGCAGGGAGAAAATGAGCTATAGAACAAAAAGTTCTAACTAATCTGGTTTAGATTAAGAGTAACAAGAAACCCTCTTTATACTATCTGTCTTTTTGATTTTGATAAAATATTGCCTGCCGAAGAACGGGTGATCCATGTCGGTGGAACGTTGATGCAGGTTGTAGAAAAATCTCCACCAAAACGTGTTTTAAGTCACTTGTGAAGCAAGTAAACAGGTACGGTAGCCCAAACCCTAACACATATTGAAGGGAAAAGACCCACAAAAGATAAGCTAGAGGTCTTGGAACTTGGAAGCCAACCAAAACAAATTGAAAACTTTGTAGAAACAGAACTAGAAATAGACATATAATTCTAGAATCAAGAAATAGTTAAAATATTGACCACTTTATCAGACAAAAAAATGGTCAGAAACATGTTTTTTTGACCAATTTCTAACCATTTATAACTGTCAAAAATAAGTTTTCATAAGAAACTGGTCAATAATTTTTGACCATATTAATGGTCAGGCCATCAGAAATGTCATTAGAAAATGGTCACAATGTTCCTAACCATTTTCTGACGAATTTATGATAACTTATTTATGAGTTATTTATTAATAAATTTATCTAATTATTTAGTTAACTTTATGAATCAGCAAATTTGTATTATGGCAAAGACATATGTAACGAAGATGTACGACAACAAAAGATTTTTTTTTTTTAAAAAAAAATTGTAACAAAAAGTTATACATCAATAAGGAAAAGAGTATATGTTGCCCTAGTTACGACATTTACAACCGTGTTATTCATGGCTCGATAACCTAGATAAATCTTTTATATTATTTTATTATTTTTATTTTTTTCAGTTTAAAGAAAAAGAATAAAAAAATGGTCAATCACGGATTACCATGTATGCGGTGATGGGACTCGCGCACAGTGATGAAGCTAACAGCGAAATGGTCCTTATTTACGGACTGCAAGACACAATTATAGCACAAACTCCTAATTTTTTTGGTCCCCATATATTATAAAAATAATTTGTTGCTAAGAATTTTTTTGTAAGGATTAGCATTGCAACTGCTCTTAGAAGCTAATTAGCTAAGTTAAGTTAAATGCTTATCTTTGCTTGTAAACTAGTTCAGGACCTATGTAGAGGCATGGACTAGTAAAATTTATTAAAGTTAAGTGTGTGCAGTAAGTAGTCTTAAGTTAAACATTGCATAATGTTTCACCCACGGTGACATTGTACATCCTCTCGTTCACATCAATTTGCTAGTTCTTTTCTTTTTGAATTGAAATTCTTGCTTTCTTTCCTCCACTATACTTGCTTTCATCCACGGATACAGGATATCTTTGGTAATAGGTCATAGAACTAGTCAACTAGGTTATTTGTTATTGTTTTGTAGTGTAAAGTTATGTCTCATAATTACAGCGCCGGAAACACAAAGCTTTATTGAATTTTATTATGAAAGTAAAGAGGCGTTCACCTACATGCGTGCGGGTATTAATTATCTCAACCCATTGTCTTTGGCCATGGACGAGTTTCATGGTTTTTAACATTACATGATATTGACTAGTAGAATGGGAACATCCTTAGACCTAACTTGTCAACACGAGAACTAGTTGTAGTAGTAGCATCATCATGAGTATCCTTCACGAACTTGACGAATATGGTTTTAGCCTCATCGTTGGTAACAATTACCTTTGGTCCGCGTGTCCAAGGCCATGGGGTGGTTCCAACGGTTCCGGTCAAATCTCTAGAAACACAAAGGATTATAAGAACAACTTTTCTTATTAGCTTTAGAAACTACTCAAAACTAAAGCTCACAATATGTTTCTCTTAGATCATATGGAACACCTCTCCATAAGACCTATATTTATAGTTGAGACAATTACCTTTAACATGTGGGATATGGAAAACACAAACCTAATCTAATAGAAAACTTCCTTTTCCTATTTCTAGATTTCCTTATTGTGTTTATCCTTAACATATTAAACATCCAATAATATGTTAAGTTTCCACAAGCTTGGAATTACCCAACAATCACCCCCTTAATTCCAACTTGAATTAGGGAGATCAATTTCTTGAACTCCNCCTTAACATATTAAACATCCAATAATATGTTAAGTTTCCACAAGCTTGGAATTACCCAACAATCACCCCCTTAATTCCAACTTGAATTAGGGAGATCAATTTCTTGAACTCCGATTAAGCTCCTCATTTGCTTGAACTTAATCCTTGCTAATGGCTTGGTTAGGATGTCGGCCTTCTGCACAACACCCGGCACATGCTCTACTTCGATTTGCCCATTCTCCACACACTCACGAATGAAGTGATACTTCTTGAGTACATGCTTACTCCTTCCATGGAAAACTGGATTCTTCGTTAGAGCAATGGCTGATTTGTTGTCGATCCTAAGCGTGACCTTCTTGCCTTCTTTACTTAGTATCTCACTCAACAAGTCTGTTGCTGCAAGAGCTATCAAGAGCCGGATAGTTTCGAGACGTGCCACTGGTGCAAACACTTCATCGAAATCTATTCCTTGAACTTGAACATAGCCTTTAGCTACAAGTCTCGCCTTATACTTGTTCACCGTACCATCCGCCTTTCTCTTTATCTTGTAGATCCACTTCAACCCTATCGGTTTCACTCCAGCCGGTCTATCCACAAGCTCCCATGTCTTGTTTCTTGTGATAGACTCCAACTCGGCCACCATTGCTTCAACCCATTCTCGTACATGTTCAGCTTCAAGATAGTTCTCTGGCTCTCCATCTACTGTGAGCAACAACATTGCACATTCTTGATCAGCAAGTAACACATAATCATCGAGATATCTTGGTTTTGTTATGGTGCGGCCGTGTCTAGTCACCAACGGTTGAACTCCACCGTCTTGATTCTCATTGTGATCTGCCTCTTCTTCTTCTTCTTCCTCATCTTGGTTTATAGCTGCATGTTCATGATCACCACCTTGATCATTACCTTCTTCTATATCACCCTCATGTGGAAGCTTAAGCATACTCGGCTCACAATCCGCTTGAGTTGTTGTAGACATCCAATCCCAAGCTTTCTTCTCATCGAAAATCACATCTCTACTCACCA